AAATATGTATTTTATAGAATTTAAATATATATTACAGTACAATATTCTGTATAAAATTCATTTAAGAATAAACAATGAAATGCCATTAGGCTTGAGATGCGAGCAATCAATTGTTTGACATTTATTACACTCTAATGAGTATTATTATGTGAAACTCAGACTCACCTCTAAATCGATGCACTCATTCTGTGATCACTTAAATATATTCACTTTATTCATACAATGGTTTACAGATATGTGTTATAATAACGGTATTGAAAGTTAGTTTTAAAATTTATAGCAAAAATCAACACAATATTATAAAATAAATTTCTATTTGTAGCATTTGGTTCATTGAATTAATTCAAAGACTGAATTATCGATTTTTTTCGTATACTTTGACTAAAACTTAATGAAAAGAATTTGAATTCAAATATTCTATGAAGTGTTAAGTGATGGACAGAGTATTGAGTGATATTTGTTGTCATATTGTCTGCAATTGATTGTGTTGTGAGTAGAGCTGAGATGCAGTCATTGTGTGATTGGTGCCAATACTGCGGTAAAGGATCAGAGCATTCAGTGAAGACATTGATCGGCGAAGAAGAGTCTCACATAGCGTATGACCACTGCATCCATGCGCACAACCAGTCCATACCAAACCCATGGGCCATACGTTTCTATATTACGATACAATATATCAATACGTGATTTCACTTATTCTGTACTCTGTTTAAAGTTTACTCTATATTTATGTTTTATTTGATTATATTTTTATTAATAGAAATATTAGTTTAATTATTGCAAAATTTAAGATTATTATTAAAAAGATATTTAAAGTATTTGATCAGATCCGATATAATTGTTTGAAAACAAAATCTGTTTATCAAATGTTTTTCTATTTAAACAACAATTCCGCTTAAGTTTTATCTTTAATTAAATGCATTTCAAGTCAATTAATGTTTTAGTTTTTATCTCAAATTAGTTCATTATAATGACTGCAATAAATTATTTTGTGGTGAAGGCTTTGAGTTATTTAACATTTAGACAAAATTCATGTTAAGCCTCACAATCATTGATTTACAAATTCTAATGACTTATTCAGTGATAAACTCATATAATGAGAGCTTTTGAAAAGACTAAAAGCAGTCTATTTTGTGACAAATCTTTGTAACGCTTCGAAATATACTGTACTAATGAATTATCACTTGTATTAACCATTAGTTAAGTCTTTATTAATTAGTTTTGATCATCAAAGAGATTATGTTTGACTCACTTTTAACTACAGAATTTCAGAAATATTCTTTGTTTTATTTAAATATATTATCAATTGATTTGTTTAAAATATTTTGTTTATAATTCACATTTTCAAAGTTATGCCCCAATATAAACTATTATACTATCTAAATGCAATAATGTATGAATTGGTGAATAATTTGTATAACTTTATTATAATAGTAAAAATCAAAACATTGGCCTCAATTTAATGTATAACAAACACACCATCGATATGTCAAACGTGAGCTCCTTCTCTACCCTGATATTTGAGTCTTACGTTAACATTAGATAAGTTTTTGAAAACTAGTTTTTATCGCATTTAAAGACACGGATCCTTGTATTGAGGCATGTATTGAGTTATTGGCATTTATAAGTGATTGCGTTCACAACTATTTCAATTATTATTTACTTTTTGGTGATTTTAGAAATAATTGTTTGAAGAAATAATACATTTGTTAAAATGAAGGACTTTAACGAATTGTTGTCTCGACACCCGAGGAAAGGTAACAAATGGATCTCTTACGGAACGGCAGGATTTCGTGATAAGTATGTATTGAATGTCTCACTATTTAAGGCTTAAATTCACTCATATTTGCCAACAAATCAAAACTAATGCCAAATGTTTCAGAGCCACTGAATTACAACACATTATGTTCCGAATGGGAATATTGGCTACACTTAGAGCTAGAGTTGTCAGAGGTATCCAATCATTCATTCAATTCTTTCACATTGTTTTGTAATTAATTCAATACTGCACTTCAGTTTTCATATAAAAGTCTATATCTTTTACATGATTTTGAAATTAGCAAATAAAATTATGAAATTTTATACAGATAATAATTAAACATTTATAAACGAATTGATGTTAAATGTTCAATTTATACAGTACAATCGTTTTAATGATTACCATTTTGAAAAATTAATATCTAGATAACTGTGAAGTATTAGAGTAAAGTCTATTATAAGGCAAAATATTNAATTCACTCATATTTGCCAACAAATCAAAACTAATGCCAAATGTTTCAGAGCCACTGAATTACAACACATTATGTTCCGAATGGGAATATTGGCTACACTTAGAGCTAGAGTTGTCAGAGGTATCCAATCATTCATTCAATTCTTTCACATTGTTTTGTAATTAATTCAATACTGCACTTCAGTTTTCATATAAAAGTCTATATCTTTTACATGATTTTGAAATTAGCAAATAAAATTATGAAATTTTATACAGATAATAATTAAACATTTATAAACGAATTGATGTTAAATGTTCAATTTATACAGTACAATCGTTTTAATGATTACCATTTTGAAAAATTAATATCTAGATAACTGTGAAGTATTAGAGTAAAGTCTATTATAAGGCAAAATATTTGTACTAAAAATGCTTCTTTACTCTCAAATTGGGTCTCACCTTATATTTATTTAAAGTTATTATCAGTTTTGAAGTATCATAAAAACAAAATGATATTAATTTAGAATTCCTTTATACAAAGTATTGTCATAATTATTATTACCGTAATATTATTAACTTATGGAATATTCCAATTTTATGAAAACTGAAACTTATTTAATATATTATAAAATGTTATTATAAAACAATTTATGAAAAAAAACTAGTAATGTGGTATTATATTGAATTAAAGCAACCATTGGAGTGATGATAACTGCTTCCCACAACCCAGAGGAAGACAATGGCTTAAAACTAATTGATCCAAAGGGAGAAATGTTGGATCAGACCTGGGAATCTATTTGTACTAATTTGGCAAATGTTAGGTAATTATAGCATAATAAGATAACCTACGAATTAGAAACAATATGAACATTTATAATTTAGCAGTGATTCACAGATAATTGAATTTAATGTAATAATTTGTATTTCAGAGATGAAGAACTTTTGGACGCAATTAATGCAGTAATAAAAGAGAAAGGCGTCGACTCGACAGCTGAGGCCAATATATACGTGGGAAGAGATACCCGGGCCAGCAGTGAACGGCTGTCCAACGCTGTAATCGATGGCATAGTGGCGGGTGAGGGCAAAGTGAATGACTTTGGGTTAACTGCAACACCACAACTCCATTATATGGTTCTGTGTGTCAACACCAATGGACAGTACGGAGAGCCCACTGAAAGCGGTTATTATCGCAAACTTTCAAAAGCATTCATCAAATTAAATGGAGTCCACGGCGCACAAGTGGTCGCCAAGAATTATGAACCATCAGTGGTCGTCGACGGGGCCAATGGTGTCGGCGCTCATAAGATTAAGCTCATGAAAGAATATTTGGGAAATTCATTGAATGTTGAAGTGATTAATGATGGCAATGGAGTCCTCAATGAGTTATGTGGCGCTGACTTCGTGAAAGTACAACAAAAAGCTCCCAAAGGCCTAGACTTGCAAATTGGCAAAAGGTATCTGTCCTATGATGGAGACGCCGACAGAATTATATATTTCTATAAGAATTCAACGGACGGACGCTTTCATATGGTAGACGGCGACAAAATTGCGGTTTTGATTGCATCCCATTTGAAGCAACTCTTAATTTCATCCAAATTATCTGACATTGAGTTGTGTATCATTCAAACGGCTTATGCGAACGGAAGTTCCACTCAATATATCCAGAATACACTTCAACTGCCAGTCCATTGTATGCCTACAGGTGTCAAATATCTGCACCATAGGGCCCAACAGTCAGACATTGGCGTGTATTTCGAGGCCAATGGTCACGGGACAGTCACCTTCTCGTCCAACACCATCGACCGCATCAAACAGTCCTCCAGTGATGCGGCCCTCGAACTCATGTCATTCATTGATTTGGTTAATCAGGTCTTTAATACTTCTTTACTTTATTCATTCAAATGCACTCATATTGTCATTGCTTTAGACGGTCGGCGACGCCATCAGTGATATGTTAGTCATTGAAACCATTTTGAGGAGTAGAGGGCAGTCTATACAAGAGTGGGACGACTTATATACAGATTTACCGAATCGTAACATCAAAGTGAACGTAAAGGACAGGAATGTCATCACAACAGGAGATGCGGAGCGCAAGTGTTTGACTCCAATTGGATTACAGGACAGAATCGATGAGATCGTCCAGAAATACGGACCCAATTCGAGGTCTTTTGTGCGGCCGTCCGGTACTGAGGATGCCGTCCGAGTCTACGCCGAGTCCAGTACTCAACAAAAGGCCGACTCTTTAGCCACAGAAGTGGCGGCAGTTGTCTCCCAATTGGCAGATGGCGTCCAAAACAAGTGATTCACAAACAGTGACTTAAAAGTGTGACTTATTTATTGCAAATGTTTGTTAAAAAGGATTATATTTTCAATTCATATATTAATAATTTGTTAACACTTTTGACAAATAAATATATTTTACAAAACCCTTAAGAATCAGTTGTTTTGAAAGTTCACAGAATATCCGCCCGTTTCTGGATTTTGAGACATTTTGAAGTTATCGGTCGACAGACCAAAGGGTCGCAGCACTAGATTTCCCAAGTCTTTCAGTTTAGACATCATTTCGGTCTTCAGTCTCTCATTCCTCTCGTGGATCTCGTGTCGCAATTGGTTGCATGCGATCACCGCTTCGGCACAACTAGAGTCCAATTCAACCACTCTTTCGTAGTCTTTCAGAGAGTCGTCTAATTTGTTGTCCATTTGTCTGTAGATTTGAGCCCTTCTTAGGATCGCCTTCACGTAAATCGGGTCCAAATCGATGGCAGAGTTGCAGTCATTGAGCGCTTCCTCGAGTCGATGGCAGTGCATAAGAGCGGCCGAACGGTTCGAGTGGACGACCGCCCGATCCCTCGCAAACTCATCCGGACATACGTCCAGCGCTTCCGTGTATACCTCTATACTCTTGTCGTACATCTCCTGTCGGAACCATTCATTTCCCGAAGACTTCAATTCAATGCACTTCTGCCTCCTTTCGCACAACTCTTCCCTCGACAACACATTGACTTCTTGTGGACACACAGTCTCCACGCCATCACTCGTGTCGTGTGTTTGGCCATCACTTGGGGCGCGAGTGCTCTCATTGTCTGTAATGTCTTGGTTTGGGGCCATTGTTGCGGACATCATATCACATGAACTCTTTGAGCCGTTTGTTTGTATTTACAGTGCATTCATGTGTCGACCAATAGGTGGCACTCAATCACAAACATTGACTCTAATTGTATTGCATTTGCGAACAATTGATTCATAACGGAGTCACAGAATATGAAAGTGAACCCACCCTATACCCCAAGTTGGTGTCACCAACTGATCCTGGTCCATTTACCTAAATTTACATCAAATGATTACAACCTAGAAAGATCTAGGATCAAATAGAAACAGGGTTTTATTAATTGGTGTACAGTATAACAAATTCTGCAAATTATTAAAGAATTTATAATAAACTTTAAGATATGAATAATAATACTGGTGTAACATTTATAATATAAATGCACTTTTATAGCAATTAATGAAGTTGATCATGATCATGCTATACCATACTACAGACTATACGTTCAAACTTTTTTTTAGTGTACAGTAGTTGAAATCCTAACAATAGTAAGTGTTTATTGTATTGATTCAATAACATATTGCAAACTGTAAGCATTTATATTATGAATTTTATAAGAATATTCTAAGTCTTACGACTAATAATCAGTATTTATAATAGTCAAATATTTTACTGGCTGACTTTAATTTGCATGATATTTACAGTATATAATAATTATTTAAGGTATAGTTACAGTAATTTTAATAAAATATAAACTGTCATTGATATATTGATATACCGGTAATAAGAACTTGATTAGAACTTTGACTGATCTTTAAATTTGAAAGATACATGGTACTACAGGGTACTGCATGTTTTAGGCTTTTATTCATACATCTACAGTATTTACATTACAGTATATATTATATAATATAGTTAACTGCAAACGAAATGGAGTGGAATTGGTATCTTTGATTCAATACTAATTCCACTCCAGAAATAATATGTACATGCTAATAACATTACATAAACATAATATGAAATACTTTTTCAATATTTAAAATGTTCAGTGTTATTTAGAAATTAAAATCATGAATACTCTGTACCTAATTTAATACTCAAAATGGTTGTATTTAACATTGAATAATTAAATTCGCTTAAATGATTGAATTCATTGCCAATTAGTAACTGAATCTGTATGTCTGTATGAGTACTATTGAAAACTAACTCATAAATTATAGTTCGCTAATTTAAAATCGATAATATATTTTGCTAAAGAATTTGAAAATTGTATTTGAATCAATCATTGAATCATTTAATCATTAGAAACTGTTTTACTATTTGGATATACGATTCCCATAGAATACCCGCAATTCAAAACTACAGTATATGATAAGTGTTAATATATTGACTCTTGAGTTAATAGATCTGGATGTTTGATTATCTGCAAATGAAAAGTCTCATAAAATTGATGACACATTTGGCCACAATTGAGTGAGGATTTGCACTATTGTATAGATCACACAATTCAATATACAGTAGATTTGATTGAAATGATAGGAAACGTGTATTTTTAGAAACGATAGCAGTTTAATGAAAACATGTGGACACCAATGGATAGGAGTTTCAGTGATATTTAATTATTTTCCCACACATTTCATTCAGTAGTGCTTTCAATACTGTAGATATTATAGTAATATTGAGTTAATTGCTAATTAAATGAAAGCAGTGTTTAATCGGATGTTTGACTCAATGAACATAAAATCATGAATTGTGAAAAAGTCAAACTCAGACATACTATGCCCTCGTCTCCAATTCACTGATGCTTTTAATTCTCTAATTCAACAATAAATTCATTCATATAAACTAGCAAGTTTATATTAACGTTTAATAAATATCGCATGTCATTTGCAAGATTATTTAAAATGCAATTATTACTCAAAAGCAGCTGAAATCGCTTACCTATTAATGATATGGATTTTGTCATCATTTAAAGAGTTTATAACATCTTTTAACGATATATAAACAAAAATTAAGTCTTTTTATGGTAAAATGTTTGACAATGAGATTAATCTAAAACTTGCTTTTAATCAAATTAAGCATAAAAAAGTTTGTTTAAATAATATGAATACGAAGCAATCAGTAATAATAAGCTAATAAGCATTGAGTTTATAATAAGCTCAAATATTTGATGCTTGATTCGTGATTTATGTTATGTTTAGACAAATAATACAAAAATAAGAAACTAATGAAGAAATAGAGTTTATATTATCCTTAAATTGAAGAGACATTTGAGTTGAAAAAGCGGGTAAATTTGCGGTATGTATAGATGGAGAGGTGGTGTGGATGTAGCGGTTGTAGTGGTTGTTGCGGTTGATGTGGTGGTAATGTTGGGCACAAGAATCGAGTGCCTGTAGCCTAAGGCGTGAATTGGCGGTAATTCTTATAGTAGTGATGCTTCACTAATTCAGGTCACTGTCCATTAATCAAAACATATTTTTGTTTAACTACTAAACACTTGTTAGTCGAAGAGAATACACTCAAATAAATGAAAATAAATAAGTTTTCAGACTTCTCACGAAAAGTACAACAACTAATGAATTAGTAATGAAATGTCCATATAATCAAAGCCCCTCTAAATAACTGGTTCTGAGCCAACAATCATTACAATGTCATCAAAATTAATTAGTTTTGACCGAATGTTAATCAAACTTTGTTTTACTTTACTTCAAAGACCAGTAGTTAAAAGCAAAACTTGTAATGTTTTGACAATTACTGAATCAGATCTTTTAAATTCAATTAAAGTAATACAGTAATAGTAATCTATTGTAATATCCGGTAAACTTTATTAATGGATTCTATAGAAAGTTTAAGTAAATATAATTAAATGTCTCAAGAATTTTGTTTTAAAACTCAAAATGATTTTTACTTATAACCTATGAAAGTACCAAATTGCTTTGCTTTAATAGTTTGAATTCAATTTAAAACAAAACAAATTGATTGTAAACTAAAATTATTATTAGCTTTTATTAATTCAAAGACTATTTTTTAAAAAGCAGAAGCAATTAGAGTGGTATCAGAAGTCTATTTGAGATATGAAAAAGTTTTTGCTTAAATTGATTTTAACTGAGGATAAGACCTGAAAATTGATTAAGAATTTGAATTTAAAAGCAAATGTCAAAATTTATATAACGATATTTCGTTAAATATAAGCTTAACTAATAGTGTGGTATGGAATCGGTGTATGTTTTTATCGTAATTATTAATCAAAAGTGAATTTGACTGTAAATGCCCACCAATAATGTTAGTCTAATCGTTATTAATCATAATTTAAAGCAAACCTCTTATAAGTAATATAAATAATATTTCGCTGAGCTTTTGATCGACAAAATAGAAAGAGAAAAAACATAAGAGAAATGTTAGCGATGTTAGTGATCATTGATTGCAAAGCAAACCATTTTTTGCTTCAATCGGTGTTGTGGTTGGAGTGAGAGAGAGAGAGAGAGAGAGAGCTGACAGAGAAATAGGATCGGAGATGTCTAGAGGTGATAGCGACCAGAGTATGAGAGATAGACTCAAAAATACAGCAAATATTTAGTTTTTAAATGAATTGCAACCGAACGCAACACCGCAACCATCCATACCATCCATATATGCATTCATCCGAATCATAACATATAGAAAGGCCTGAAGGGGACTGGGATTCCAGCAGATTTCAATCCATACGCTATCTGTTTAACGTTAGACCGTATATCCTTTCAATTTAATCATTTCTCGTCTCATCTCTATTATCTGCCTCTTATTCCTCTCTCTCTCGCTCTCTCTCTCTCTCTCTCTCTCTCTCTCTCTCGCAAACCGTATCCAAAGAGTTAATTAGGCGAACACTAATTCTTTACGACGACATGCCTTATGATTAGACCAATATTTGTACACAATATCTGTTATATCTATTATTGTATACTTAAACTAATGTTCACTACATTTATTCAATTATCTTTCAGCTGATCCGCTCTGAACTCAAGAGCATAGATATAAAGTGACGCCAAATATGATATGTTTTTGACTAATCTTTTTTTGCTACAAAACATTTGAAAAGAATGTCTCAAATGAATGATTACTAAATTGTGATTTGATTGCATCCAATCATTAATTTATATGAAAATTCTGACGAATAATTTTATTAGTTATTGACCTCAAAAATAATAATAACATAAAAAATGAGTTCATAATGTAATCCATTTGAAAAATCATAAGTTGTTGTGAAATGAGATACACTACCGAATGACTGGAATTGATATTTAAGTTTTGAAAGAAGTTTTAAATTGAAAAGAGAAAAGAAAAGACACACAGAGTGTGGAGAGTGTAGAGAGAGAGAGAGAGAGAGAGAGAGAGAGAGAGTGTACAGTAGAGAGTGTATCGTAGAGTGTGGTGAGAGTGAGTTAACTGCAAACTTGTAACTCATTTAAATTATGAGTTTCGGGACATCTTCTATATAAAGCAAAGCCCGTAATAAATCATAACTCATAGCCTTATTCTAACCTCAGATGATGTGATGTTTGATTAATGATTGGAGCAGTGGTTGGAATTTTTGACTGACTTTCCAATGATTTAAACTCAGATAACTTCTCGTTTGCCTCGCATTTCGATGACAGTATAAATATTATTAAATATTATTTTCTTCTAATCCATAAATAAATGGCTTTTATGAACAACAAAAACTTTACGCATTTCTATCATATTCATGCAATTGTGAGCCAAGTCTTTAAGTTTACAGCACTTTATTTTCTTTACTTACGAGTTATAGCATTCAAAGTATTAGTGATGTGAAAGGTAAGTAAATGTTTGTCTAAGTATTGTCACCAATGATGGAGTGGTCACCAGTGGGGTTATTATGAGCCTATTATGACAATTGTGACTATTATTCGTTAATTAGGAAAAGTGTTTAAATGTGAAGTGATTGGAGAGGACTGTGGTGTGAGTTGTCTGAGAGTCTGGAAGAGGAACCAGATGTTGGAGATGTTAGGGATGGGAGGGATGGGAGTTGTGATGGGATAAGAGAGCGTCACTAATTAGCTCGAAATAGACACACGTGTTAGAG